GACAAAACAGATTCAGGCAACTCCACACAGAAAAACAACAGAAGAAGAAGCAGGACATGCAGGTTTCTGGACTTGTGCAAAATGACACTATCAGAAAAAGCACCTTAAGAAGATTCTCTCAATGAGACAGCAATTAATGATCAGCGTCATCCCTTTCTGCCAAACAGGAATAGAGGAAAGCTGCAGCTACCTGGTCATTCCAACCCTAAGCTTATCACTCTTTCAGCAAACACCCTTCTGTCTAAACATCCAATCTGGTCCTCTCTTCAAGTGAGTTTACTGCAGCAAAACTGAATCATTCGTCATTATTCTTAAACCAACCAACCAGCCACAGGAAAACTATTTCATATTTCAAAAGCATCAAAAGGAACAGTAATCTACCCTGACTTGACACAAAGCCCCCCCCCCAAAGTAGAATTATTTTATTTCAAAACCCCAGACCAAGTCCCTCTGCCCCACATGCAGAAAGTGACTTTCTGCACACACTTTGCAGCACCATAATGCAGCTGCCAGGAGACACAGCTACAGCTGTAGTGAAATCACAGGCTGGTGTTAAAACACAAGATACTCCTCTCTCCCAGCACCTCTGCTCTCTACAGTCCCCCACACACTCAGAAAAATAATTGGGAAGGTTCTCTGCAAAAGCAGCACTGGGACATCCTCTATCTTTAACCATAGGTCTTGAAGGAAAAATAAATACCACGGAGAAGAGACAGATATTATTCACTCCTATGGGCAGATATTATTCACCAACTTTGGGAATCTTCTGCAAGTTTGATTACCTGACTAGACCATCTTGTCCAATCTCCTTAGTGCTGTTTCATTCACCTTCTCCATCTCCCCTCCTTCCCCTTTTCCTATTTCGTAAGGTCACGCACCCTCTGGAGATGGTTTATGGATTACTACTTCAGTCCTGTACCTAAACCCAAGGATATCTGCTAGAGCTGCAAACATTCCAAGACAAGAAGCAGATGATCACTAACAATCAAGGCATCTGAAGATACAAAACAACCTTTTGCAAGCACACATCAAGATTTCTCTTAACCATCTCACTGAATATAAAACAAGCTGGGGAAAAACAAGAAAAACCCCTCTTATTCTCTTGTACCACCTCCCCACAGTCACCTTGAAACACAATTTAATGTTCAAACGTATTTTAAAATTAAGCTTTTGATCACCACAATATCCCAACACATAGAAAGTAAAACAGGAGACAGAAGGAACGTACAGAATTCATCTCCTAAAGCAACAACTGGAGATTGTGAGCACAGTTCCAACGGCAAGAGGAAATCCAAGCCATTATTTCCAGAGTTGCTTACACTACTTTCTACTAACACCTACTGAAGCCTTTTGAAATGAAGTGTTAAGTGTCCCCGTAACAGCAAACAACTGATTAAAGAAAGGGAAGAACTCCAAAGGAGGATTTCCAGCTCACTTCTGAAAAACTAAGGATCTCCACCATAGAAAGACACAACAGCTTATCAGGAGATAACTGTGCTGCAGCAGTTCCTCTGAACCCTCTCTACCGCTCAGGAGTAGGGAGGGAGAGGGAAAGCTTAGCCCTCTTTTTAAATCAGACGCCAAATCTGATGTGGAAGGAACAACACTCCAACAAAACTGCAGGGAATAAGAAGCCTCCTTTCTAAAGCACCTGGCTGGCTCTGATGGTGCTTGGTTGGGGTTTTGTAGAGCTGTGTCTGTCCTAAAGCAATTTATGCATCTCTGAGAGGGCAACTAGAACAAGTAACCAGGCAATTCACTGTGCGGTGTGGAGGGTGGCAAATAAGTTATGTTGAAAAGGATACAGTGATTCAATCAAATATTCAAAATTGCAACTGATGGACAAGGATCATACAGACACTGCCTGAACGGTCTGGCGGTGTTTGTGTAACACACAAACTTTCCCAGTGTCTGGCCAACACCTCTCAGAGTTACCAGTTGTATTTCTCACTAAAATCATGAGGAAGGATCACGGTTCATTCTACCAGAAGCATTTCAGCAGGCTACAAGACTACACAGAGGCCTTTTGACTACAATTCAGTTTCAATTTGAATTAATTTAATCGCAGCTGGAAAAAAAAGAGAAATCAGGAAAAGCTGTGTCACCAGAGAAATTTGCACCATAGTTCTGTACATCTCCTGGAACTTTAGATTCACCAGACCCGAAACTAAAGATCAACGAAAGCAGAAGTCTGAGTGTGCATCAAGCAAGCAGGCACACAGCTCCAGAGATAACAATGGAAACTGGAAATGCTTGGCAAGTATTCCATCTTTACTCATCGGATCACTGTCGAAATGCTGGAGAACTAATTAAAGTAAGTCTGTAAGAAGAGATGTGTTGACTAGACCATGTCCTGCCTCAGGATCCTTATCCTTCACTGGATGGATAAGGAGCAGAGATGCACTTGCAGAGATTTCAGCACAGGCTGTGGGAGCACAGGCATACAGGGAGCCTCCCATCGCTGTTACACTGCAGGATTAACGACCAGCCAGAGGAAAGAGTCCTGACAGCCCTGGGACAGGACAACAGAGCACGTTCCATAGGATGCCACTGTCCCAGTGCCAGGCAGACTCTGTCTGCACGCCCTGGAAAAGCGGCTGTGTGTCGCCTGCGTCCAGGGCTTATCAGCCCATCGCCAGCAGAGCTCTTTGCTGGGCATGTGACTTCTCCATGACCAACTTTTTAATTTGGTGCTGCACTAGCTCTGGACTAACAATGCCTTACATATCCATGTCTTAAAGGGCAAAGTACAGGGAATGGAGCAAAGCAAAGAAATAAGCAGAGCCTCACACACACGAGAGCTCCCTGAGCTGACAGTGTGTTGTCCTTGCTGCCCATCCCTAGTCCAGCCACGCTCCTCACAGTCAGGAGCAGGAGTGTCCCCCAGGCTGCCTGACCCCCCCAGCTCACACACCCCGTGTGCTGGAGACGTGACCTTGCAGAGGGCTGTTATCAGCGCTCCAAGGAGCGGTCCAGAGGGCAGGAGTTCCAACTAAACACACTGGCCCTCACTTCATGAAAGGCAAGGCAGCTCGTGCCCTCTTCTCCAGAAGCACAGGGATTCATTTTTTTGTTGCTGTTTTGCTTCTGAAAACTTCTTAAGCTTTCCAGAAGAAGCAGTGAAGGGAGGCTTAGACCTACAGATCTAGGGACCAGCTTCCTCCTCACATTCCAAAACACCACTACACATCAAAAGGGAGAACATGGAAACAACAAACACACACAGCTCCACCCAGGCCTCTCACTTGTATCTGAGTATCCATTCGCACCTCCCTCACCAGCACCAAATCCCTATCCCTCCCACTGGCACCGAGACACAAAAAACATGGACTGGAAAGCTACAGAATGAAACACGGACAGTCAAAATGGAATTCACTGTCTTAGTTGTGCTACTGTTCTGTTCACGCAAACCTGAGAATAACTTAACACCAGATCACGAGAATGATGATTAATCATGCCAGTATGTCCTGTTTGTAAGAGGCACAAAGTAACAATTAGCATCTAAACAGTATTTTATAGGCTCCAAGTTTATAGGCTCTTAGAGTTTGTCATCAGCAGACACAAAGCTCCAAGATGTAAACTGTACTGGTTCAAAGCTGTCCATAAAGGAAAAATCGCATCTATTTCACTTTCACTCCACATGAAAAGTTCTAACATCTTGTTAAAAAGAGAACTGACACACTCAGCAGCTATTCTGAATCACTGGCATACTTCCTCACTTTCCATATCTTATCACAATTACATCACTACTAATCCATTACATATCCTGATTCCTGTCATCCAGTGACTGAGTAGTTTCTAAAGTGCCTTTTTCAAAACTAAAATGTGACAGGAAATAAAATGATACACATACTTCTTGTACCAAAACCAGCTTTTAAAAAATATTTCATATAAAGAAGCCAGAGGCACAGAAGTGCCCCTCCTAAAGTTTGGAGAGCGCCATAGGATTTCCAGCATTTTCTCAGACTTGATATTTGCTAATGTTTTTTACATCTAGTTTATATTTATAATCCAGAAAACAGACATCAGAAAAATCCAGTATTTTCAATCATTCATTTTGATGTTATCTAAAGAAACAGCTGCCAAGATTCAACTCTAGCTATAGGTCTTTTTCTACATAAAAGTCTGCATTTTAACATTTGGATTTACTGGGTTTAGATCTATGAAGCATCAAGAACATTCTGTGGTCAATCCATAGCAGCTTTTAAACTGAAATACAAATACATTTTTAAGGCAAAAAAACAGGCAGAAGCACTTTTCAGAAAAAGAATAAATTCCTTCAAGGGACAGATATCCCAATATATTGAGTAAATAATACACGCACAAGGGGGGCACGAATACAGGGACAGTATAAACTGACATAGAGTCTGCTTGACTGGATTTATCTTCATTTAATCGTTACTACTGCTCTAAGTGCTGAATCTATTTTACTGCGGTTTTTAAATAAAACACTCCCTAAAAACATCCCAAACAAACAAAAAGCTCAAAACCCCAGACCAACAGGTAAGCGGGAGGCCGTGGATGAGCCGCCCGGCGGGGTCACATCACCCCGGGTCTGTGGCAAAGCCAAAACCCGAAATTACCGCCGGGAGCCCGGCCCAGCGGGGCAGCGAGCGTTCGAACTCCTCACGGAGCCAGAGCCGGCGACAAAGGGAAAAACACGCCTTCTCCAGCTCGCTTTCCCCTGTCACATCACCCACACCCGGGCATGACGATGGAAAAGCGGGATTTTCAGCACTTTTCCTCACAGTTCCCGTCTCCAGGAGGCAGCTGCCCGGCCATCGGCTGCTCCCCCTTCCACCCGCACCAGCCGCGAGGGAGAACCCGTGGAAGCGCCCGCTAATCTCCCTCACGGGACGGGCCCGATCCCCCCGGGATGGAAAACTCCTCCGGGAGAGAAAGGAGCGAGGGCGGGCGGCGGGGCCGAGCGGCCGCTCCCGCCGGGCCGCCCCCCTCACGCGGGGCCCGGGCTGGTCTCCCCCGCCGCCCCCTCCCCGCACCTGGCAGTGTGAGACGACGAGGCTCTGGTTGCCTTCCCCGTGGTACTTCCATTCATTCTCATCCATCTTCTCCACTTCCATGCCCGGCCCGGGCCGCGCGGAGGGCAGGAACAGCCGCCGGCCCCGCCGCCTCACGCCGCCACCATCGCGGCTGCGCCGCCCGCCCTCGGCCGAGGGAAGTCCCGCCCGCCGCCCGCGCCATCTTGGAGCCGGGCACGGCGCCGCCGCCGCCATGGCGGGGCCGGGCAGGGGTCCGGCGGTGAGGGGAGCGGGACCGGCGGCACAAAAGCGCCTTCTGCCTCCAGAAACGGCCCGTCAAAGGAGTGCTGTGTGCAGTGTTGGGCGCCACAATATAAAAGAAGACATGAAGCCATTAGAGAGAGTCCAAAGGAGGGACATGAGGATGGTGAAGAAGCCGCGTGAGGAGCGGCTGAGGGCACTTGGTCTGTTCAGCCTGGAGAAGGGCAGACTCAGGGGAGACCTCGTCGGGGTCTTCAGCAGCATCCTGAGGGGCACGTACAGATCTCTTCACTCTCCTGGCCACTCACAGGAGCCGAGGGAACGGCAGGAGCTGAGTCGGGGGAGCCTGAGGTTGGAATCTCAGGAAAAGATTCTTCCCCCAGAGGTGGTGGGGCACTGACCAGGGTCCCCAGGGCAGTGGGCACGGCCCCAAGACTGACAGAGCTCAAGGAACTTTGGACAATGCTCTCAAGGACAGGGTGGGATTGTTGGGGTGTCCTGGGCAGGGCCGGGAGTTGGACTCGATGATCCTGATGGGTCCTCTCCAGCTCAGGATATCCTGTGATTCCATGGTATTGGGTGCCCGGATAACATCCTTGGGGATCGCCGTGTGGAAAATGAGCTTGCACCTGCAATGTCCAGGTGGTCAAACACACACACAAAAAAAAGGTGGCGTTGTACCTTTGGGGTTGTGTTTGACAGAATCACAGAATCAGTCGTGTTAAAAAAGACCTCTGAGATCAGTCCAACCTGTGCCCAATCCCCACCTTGTCAGCCAGACCAGGGCACTGAGTGCCACCTCCAGTCTTTCCTGAAACACCTCCAGGGATGAGGGCTCCCCCACCTCCCTGGGCAGCCCGTTCCAAAGTCTTTTCAGATACAGTTTCCAACCACGGCTGGTTCCAATGTTACAGATATTTGCTCTTGCAGTCAGAGTGTATCCAAATAGCTTTGTGCTCCAATACACCAGGTCAGTCAAATGCCCAACAGAGATGTTACAAGCAGAAATATGAAGATTTAAAAATTAAACATTAGGCTGTTTAACATCCCCCCCCAATGTATGAATATACACATACATGATGTACAATAAATATAAAATAATCTAAAGATCCAAACTCCCTATCGCAAACACAGGATTAAATTCTACAATCCTTAATCCAGTAATTTTTATTTATTTATGTCTAAATGAGTTTTGACTGCAAACAGTGAAACCAGTCCTTCAGTGATCATTTTAAAACAATCCCTGAGGGCTCTCTGAAATCCCCCCCTTTTCTATCCTGCTTCCTCACAAGGCTCTCCATGACACTGGTCAGACTGACAAACACTTGCAAGTTTTACTCTGTATAATTTGAACAGTACCCAAATTTGACTTTGTATTGCAGCCTCTGGGGAAAAAAAAAAGTCAAAGCAAAGCAAACTCCATTAAAATGCCATTTTAATGGAGAGAGAAGATGCACCTAGAAGGCTGAAAATAAAACCTGTATAAATCTGCAATGACTCATTGATCCTTTTTTTAAATGTATGTGGTGCTGTAACTTAATCACTGCTCATCTATTTTCACTAGAACTTAAAAAAAAGGGAGTTAAACAAAATAAATGCCAAAACACTAACTCATAAGCACTTTTCCCTTTTTTTTTTTTACATCCTATAGGTGTCTACATGAAAAAAGAAATCTCTGCTCCTTTGGCCATTTGATAAAGTTGAAAATAATGACAGTGATGTCTTTAAAATATGTTTCTGTCACCTATGTTTGCAAAGTTTCTTTACGTTGTATAACTAGATATGGATATATAGAACATACAAGAATTAACCATTCTGTTCTGACTTACCAAGGTTTTTATATAGAAGTCTCACTCAGGACTGGAAGTAAGATTGTGGTATTTATGATACTTGCATTAAAAAATAACTGTACTTTAGAGAAATAGTGCATGGACACTTACTAGGCTTGCATGGAGAAATACAAGGACAGGTAATATCAATATATTGGTTTGCAATGGCAAAACTAATTTGCCTCAGTTTTAAAAGGAACTTTAGCATAGCAAGTTCTTTCATATTTCTGAAGAATACACACCTACAGAGTCAAAAATAAAGCTGAGGTTCTGAGTGCAAGGGTAAACAACAGTGAGAACACCAAGTTTTAACATACTCCTTCCTTCTCTCTAGCAGGTCACTTCCCTCTCCACTTTTTCCTCCAGCATTCCCAGGTGCAGAACTATCACTTGGCAGTGTTCTGAAAATAAACTGGTGAAGCTTGAAAACTGGAGCGACAGAAACCTATATAACTCATATTATTTCTCCCCGCATTATCAGGTTTTACGACTCATTTCAGGTATTATCTTCAACGTGTTTGGACTGAAACACCTGAATTTCATGCCATTGATGACATTCAGGTATTGCTGAACTGGAATTCCCCTCTCGTGGCTTGTCAGGTGCTGTAACTCCAGCTGGGGTGGACATACCTGGAGTGGTTTTAATGAGGTGCCTTGAGCTCAGCGACCTCAAAACCCACCTGGGGATCTCCGTACACAGCCAGGTGTCCCGTGGTATTTTAGGATAAGCTAGTTCAAAACTGCAGTAGGAATGCATAAGGCCATTGTGCCTTCAGTTCTACAGGTCCCACTTAATCCCCTCACCATTTCCTTTTTGATGTAACATAGAGGGGTCAGGACAGCACCACAGGCCTGAAATACATTTATTTTCCTCAGGGTCCTGGAGCTGCATTGTGTTTTATGCCACAATTCCTGTTTCTTGGGACTCTTCAGTGTCGGGAATACAAAAAAAAAAGAAAAATTAAAATTAGGGTAAATAATCTGTAGAGTTTAAATTAGTGGTTACACTGTTCTTAACCGTGCAGATGTTCTCAAATAAAAGATAAAGTGTCCCAAGATCACAGATCATGTGACATTAAGAATAAGCTAGTAAAGTTCTGACACACAGGACTATTGTCAAACAGATTTGCAGCCAGAAGTGAGAAAATAGCCATCCTGTCTCTTTATACAAAGACAACACATTAACTGACATGAAATTTCTTCCCCTCCATCTTCTGTCATCTCATGTCTGTAGTTTTTGCTTGGTTTTAAATGGCATTTAAACTCTGGCACTGCTGTCACCTCATTACTCATTATTTGTCCCAGCTCATTACTCTGCCAAAGCCCACCAAAACATGATTCCCCTCCCAGCTCCAGCTCAGAACCTCTGCTGTGTCCTTTCCCCAGGCTTTCACATTTGCCATCTTTTACAAACTGTAAGTTCACCAGGGAATGAGAATGAAATGGTAAGGACAGTTCACAGGCCACTTATTCACTTTGAGGATGAAAAAATATTACCAGGCAAGTACTTCATGTTACCATTTTTTGCTATAAAAAGCTCATTAAGCCCAGACCTGAGGAAAAAAATAGCATTACCTGAGACTCATGATAAAATTGGGTGCCAATAATACAAAGGTCCTGTGGGCTTATGAAGAGGGTTTTTGTTATAAAAGCTACATCTTAGTTCTCCACGTTCCTAAAATGAAAGGCTTCTGTACAAAAGAAAGGATATTTTGTTCTTTATGAAAAGAGTAATCATGACACAAAAGATCCTCTCCTGTGACCTAGAAATGTCTGCCTGGAGAAATCAGGATTAAAATCACAAATTCAAGGCAGCGAGTCCCAGAATATTGAACGGACATGACAAAACCACAATGAAACTGTGCTACAAAATACTATTGCTATTTGTTTTAAACCACTGCCCCATTTTCAGTTTCAAAAGATGCAGTTACGTTTAAATAGGACAGCCAGTTTTGTATTTTTATTATACTCAGGCCAGCAGAAATGGAGCATACTTATGTAACTCACACATCATTCAAATTTTAAAGCTTTGCTTTTTTTTCTCATCTCACGGCAGGACGACACCACTGCTCCACGCCACAGCTATTTCTTGAATCCTCGGTTTATCTACCTAATTTCACACACATACTGGAAGTGCAGGAAATTTCATGCTCCAACTGTCATTTCACCATCTCAGGCTGACTGAGAATCACTGACCCCACAAAGGAAGAAGATCAGAATAGGACTGGAGTGTGTCATTCGACAGCTTTTTTAGAGAACACGTGTGACATTTTGCAAAGGAAAATATTTTAGAAACTAAAGAAGCCAATGGCTTCAGGAATAGGGCTGTAAGGAGCAAGAAAGGTGACTTTAAGTGAATGAAGATAAAGCCACATATATGTTGTTAACAGACAAGAGCTTGCACAAACTTACCACAGATGTGAATAAACAGACATTATAACCATCAAGAGGTTTAATTACATACAGTCTGAGGGAGGAAATAAAGTAGTAGACACAGCATAAAGAACAACTCTGTCCTGTATATGTAACTCCAAAGAACTGCCAGGACAGACAATATTTTTTACATATAGACAAGACAATTAAAAAACATCTTCCATGCACAGGAGTCCTGAACATTTATTGGGAAAAAAAAAAATACAACTCATTACCAAGAGGGCATGACCCAAAAAACAAACAAATGAAAAACAGTGTTTTGAATTTCTGGGAGTGGTAAGAGCAAAAATATGGAAAAGAAGATCTAGTTAGGAACTGCAGGAGGTCACTAAAGCAGAAAGCTATGGTGAAATCAGAAAGCTTTGACAGGGTATTAAGGCAGAAGGGAACAAGAGCAACACCATCTAAGCACCTCCTTAAAATCTGTTCTCACAGCCTCTAATCCTGCGGGCAAGGAAGGAAAGATGAAGGGATAAAGAGCTTTTAGGCCTTGCCTTGTATTAAGGGACACACCAGCAACTGGAAAACAAAATGCTCTTTCCATAAAGAGGTGAAAGCAAAGTCCCAGGGCAGAAGTCTTGGAGCTGCAGGACTTTTGGTGCTTCCAAGCCAGGCCAACCCCCCTCAGTGCAGGTACTGCACTGTTAATGCT